ACTAAGCAGCAATGCCCCTGTGCCCTGCAAGAGGCACAATAGTCTATAAAATGGGCAGAAGCCAGAGGTGACGTCATGTAGGTGGCTGGGTGACAGGATCAGGCAGAAGCAGAAATGGTCGTTTTCCATTCCCTGCTCCCCAGCCCAGATTTTAAATGTCACCATCATGGTGTGTCAGAGATCCAGCTGAGAACTGAGAATGAATACTGTGGATCACACTCTTTGGATCCCCAAATTTCCAATGCATTTAATTGCATATTTTCTGGAGATGTCTGGTTCTAGCAATTCATACAGGGAAATCAAAGACAGAAGTTTCACCCTGCAATTCTTTCTGCTACAAAGCCTCACAGAGGTGCTCTACGGGCAAGGTAAAATAATTTTATATGCTACATAATACACCACTTTAATGAAATCCTGTCCCATTAGGGTGTTGAAGAAGCTGTTATCACCGAATCTCATGTTTTATCAGCACAGAGTAACAGTTTGGGATAAGGTGATGTGACTAAATGTGAAAAACTGGTAAATACATAAATAGAATGAAGTTCGATAGTTGTAACTTTCAAGATCAGATGGATCAGATACAGAATCAAAAGCCCATCTAAAGGATAAATTTGATTCATTATTAGTTACAAGTCACACATAGGAGTTAATGCCACTTTAAAGAAAGATATAACCATAAAGTATAATTATTCTTAATATACAGAGATGTCCTGCCTGCTTTCTGCTGGGGCAGAGAGGGGAGAGCTGTAACCCCTGTGTGAGCACCAGTGTTTCTCACAGCAGGCAAACCAGCTCACATCTGCCTTTAAATCATATAATGGAACTCAGGCTTCAACCTCATTTTTCCTTTACAAACATGGAGTACACTGCACTGTGTATGCTGCTCACACAGGTAAGATATTTGGAGGTGCTCATTAAAGGAGATCTAGTTGACAGGGTGGTGTTGGGTCATGGGTTGGTCTTGGTGAGCTCAGAGGTCTTTTCCAACTTGGTTGATTCTGTGATTCTGTGATTAAGACATGCTATTTGCTTTATGCTATAGCAGAGTTTAAGCACACAGCAATTATTTGTGTTCCTTGGAAATGGAGAATGCTCTAGGACACTATGGCCCAGCTAAGGCAAGATCTCCTTATTTTGGGTTGGGTTTATTTTAGATTTTAAAATATGGCCTAGGTGAAGCCACACACAAAAGTCAAAGAAATTCCAAGTCAGCACAACAGATCCTAGGGTGAAACTAAGCAGAAGATGGCACAGGGTACCTAACAAAACACTGACCAGAGAAGTGGAGAGATGGGTTAATTTTCCTGATTTGATCAGGAAATTGTTAGAGCATTCCTCAGGACATCAGGCCTCAGACAAAATGCCACACACCTGTAATGTAAACACACAGCTCCTCTCACAACTGCTGCACCAACACAGTCAGCTGGTATCAAAGTCGGCATGAAAAGGTGACAGCATCTGAAATGTAGTCTCAAACATAACAGATGGCAAGCTGAGCCCAAAGCAAAAACAAATTCCTAAAGGAAATCACAAAAACAAATATCAGAGACAAATGTGCATTTAAAATAAATGAAGAAACACACACAAAAAGAAAATGCCTTAAAGCGAGAATCTTGGAAGAGTTACAAAATCATCAGACTAGAAGAAAGGATCAGTAGGGACAAATGTGAAATACGGAAGGGCTGAGTTGTGTAATGCTGCTCACTCAGTCTGGAGGAGACTCCAGATGTTCCCTCTTACTCTCATGTAACTACAAGTTGTGAAATAGCTGGTGAGGCTAAGCTGAGGCTGGTCACAGTACCTCTTGTCTCACGCTGGCCCAGGGAGGAGAAACTGCATTCATTTCACTCCAGTGATGGATCCACTGGCATGGCAGAAGATTGCACAAAGCTAACAGAGGAATAAAGTAGGCCTAATGCTGGTGAAGACACAGAGAAACTACTAGCATTGTCTACTGCTAGACCTCCATAGTCACAGATGTTAAAAATGAAGTTATGTTTGTATTGAAATGATATGTGGAGTTTAATGAATTGATAAAATTCTAAATTTGGACTCCTACATTCTCTAGAGACATAGGAAATGTCAAATTAATACAAGATTAATATGCTTAAAACAATGAGATGGTTTGTTGATGAACTGCAGCAAACCACAATATCAGTCATAATCCATTAGCTCAATTCCATTTATAATGGTAATGGTCTTAAGCTTATCCTTCCATATTTTTGGACATTATCAGTGATCTTGCTTTCCATAAACTGGTCGACTTGATTAATAATGTAAGTCCTGTGAGTACATAGAGCAGTCATACAGCAGTGGGAAACAGCATGTATATCTTGGGTGTGATCATGGCAGTGCAGCTTATGCTCACAGCACTTAACAAGAGCCTGATTAAAAATATGGTCACTGAAGGACACAGTGAGTGTCTCTTTATCCTCTCCCTTTTCTTTTTTTCTTTTTGTGCGTAGACTCTCATGGATGAGAAATCCTTCCATCTTGGAAAAAGCCCACTGCTGAAGAACAGACATGAAGCCCACGACATGCGCGGCCCAGCATGCTAGGTGGCAGCAAAGGCAGGGAAAGCCTGCTTTGTGCTCAACATCCTCCAGAGCTACGCTTTTGTCACCAAACTGAGCTGTCTTCCCATTGAAAAGAAACACAGATGAGTGCACGAGAATAACACTAAAACATGCATCATTGTGTGGACAACATGCTTGTTTTGTACTTTAGGCTTTGCTTAGCCCAAAAACACGCCAAAGAGTAGGTTTCCAACCCATCTTCACATTAAATTTACCTGCGGTTCTGTGCTTGACCCTGAGTCTGAAATACTCCCACAGCAGCAATACTGTACAACAGTACTTACTTTTCTGCTTTCCATCTTCATTTATGAAATCACCGAAAAAGTGCACTATATGCCTGTGCAACATTCAGGAGAAAAAAACTAACTTCTCATCTCTAATCTACAGTCCCAAGTTTCTGATTGCTCTAGTAGGAAGAGACTGCTCCTTCCCATGCACACAGATCTCTAGGTGCACTATTAGCAGTATTAAGCCAAGCCTCTTATTAGCTCCCAAGCTAAGAAAAGTAGGAGAAAAACCCTGCTTGAACAATTTTGCCAGGACTTTTGGGACTTTTATTGACAAGTCCCTCTATTTAGTTTTTCAGAATTTTTTTTTTCTGGAACTGTAGACATTTCCATATTCTTTTAAGAGACAAGAAGTCCTCTGAATAAGCACTTTTCAAACCACTTGCAAAATTTTTCTCTCCTTCTGTTGTTAAGAATCTAATTAAACTGTCTACTACCTTTGTTCAGCCTAAAAAGAAACTGCTCTGCTTCTTTCATGTAGGATTTCATTAAAAGTCCCCTAAAGAAAGCTTTTTTCCCCAGAGGTAAACAATTTGCATAAACCCATGCAAAATAAATCCCTTTTACCCCAAGCTAACTAGACCCTGTTGGAGCAGCTGCCAACTCAGTTAATGTGTCCCATGCAGCCTGTATTTGAGGAGAGGAGTAGGAAGCCGTGTTAGAGGTTAGGAAAGTATTTAAAAGTGTGTTTCTATTACTTGCCTCCTGGTTTTGGAGCCTTTGGTGAGGAGTCACAGGATTACAGGGATTGAGGATTCAGGACTCATGTGAAATAAGCCAGCAGTGCTCCTGGGCTACTGCTCTCTCCATTGTGCTTTTCCAACTTAAAAGAACAAACTACTTCCTTCAAACCCTTAGCCAAACAATAAGAGACACACCAGAAACAAAACCTCTGAGAATCTATCAGTGACATATCATCCCTATGTCCAAATTCACTTTCCCAAGATATATACATATATATTTCTTCCTCTTTTTGAACTTATGACAATTATTTCATTGTTTTGTGGGTTGTTTACCTCTCATCTCTCTTTCTTGATCACCTGAGGGAAGCCAAGAAGCAGCGTTTAAGAAGGAGTGGGATCATGGCAATGGGACAGAAAGGCCAAGGGATCTAGGTGCTGGCCTTTGTTGCACAAACTTTGGCTGTGGCTTGAGGTGGCATTGCACACACAAATGTGGCAATGAAGTCCAAAAGGGCTATTAAGCATATTGTAGATGCTGCCAAAGACAGCAACAACTTGTGTAACAGTTTAATGTTTTAAGCAGTTGCGCAGGAGGCAGAAGTAGAAGCATCTGCATCTTCCCTGAAGTTTTTCCCAGTGATTGGGGTCAGGACAAGACTAGGGTGAGGCTCAGGTCTCCCTTCCCTGCTACTCGATGGGTATCACTGAATGGCAATGCTTTCAGGAGCCTGAAGGGGGGATAAAAACAACAAAAGTATCTTCTCTCCTCTGTGACCAAAGCCCTTCTCAGGGGATGAAGTCCTGGGTTTCTGCACTCCCCCACTCTGCACTCTGGGTTCTGAGATCAGAGCCCAGAAATTCTCCTTTCCCGTGTGGGGGTCAAGCTCCTCTTGCATCTCCCTTCCTTGGCATTGTGGACTGGCTAGGGGAGCAGCTGGGAGTGTGGCCCCATGTTGGAGAGCACTTTGGCTCTGAGTGGCCAAGGAGTGGGGAGGACCTGCTGACCTGTTCCCTGGGCAGGGGCAGCTATTTTGGTGGTCTCCCTTCAAACACAGCAGTCAGAGCTTCAGCCGAGGTGACCAGAGCACCCTCTTCTTTTGCTCTGGGAGAGATGGCTGTCAGGATATCTTGTGGTTTCCTGGGAGTTTTTGCTGGGACAACACCTGTAATGTTGTCCAAGTTCCAGGTCAAGTTTTCTCCCACTCCCAGAGGTAACCTGGGAGCCACTTGAATCACTCTCATGTTCAGAGATGGGAGTTCCTGTGATAATATTGCCTAGTAGCACAGAATAATTGCTGGTGGAAAGAATCTCTGGCAATCATCTGTCCCAAACTGTTGGCCAAGCTTGGCCAGCTTTTGTAATGTTTGCTAATAATTTCAGAAGCTCAAAAGTTAGCATCCTTTTTCTGATCCACCAAGATAAAAGAGTTTTAAAAAGGACTGCAGAGACATGGTAAAATGACCACAGTGTACTTTATTTAATGATTTTGGTACCTTGTGTTGCAATAAAATAAAAAAAATCTACAAAATCCAAATATATAAAATTTTCAAGTTTCTCTTTTAAGTTTTACAAGAAAAATCAAGTTGTAACCAAGGAAATTTGTTAGTATGAAGCACTACTTTCAACTTCATTTCATCACAAATTGCAACTTACTTAACAGACCAAAAGAACTATGGTACTGCAGTACATCAAATACTTCACACACTGTGTTCTTTACTATAGCACATGTAACCTCTGCCACAGGAGGCAGTGGTCTCTAGCCAATAAAGACACTCTTCACAATCTGAACTCTAAAGGAATGTTTGTATACATGGATTCAGAATATATATATTTACAGGAAGATTTTTCTTTTCTTTTTTTTTTAATAACTATTTTGATTCTTCATTTCAAATAAAATACCAAATACATTTTTACAATGTTTACAAGTCAAAGCACAAGTTCTGCAATGATTATCATTCACCTCTAGTCACTGTGCTTGTACTGGGGGGATATCTACACTGTTCCATCAACATGAATGTGATCTTCCATCACTTTATTTCCGCAATGGTGGCTAAGGAGTATAAGCACAGTAACAATTATTTTAGCACAATCAGTGTATAATGCAACAGTTTACAACAGAGAACTGAGAAACTATTGGTCCATTCTGTTCAATTTACTGTTTATCTGCCAACTGTTACGTTAGTCTTTGTCACATAAATTGTGTACAAGAGAAGAGTTAAATAACACAACTTGACTAGGAAAGAGCACACATTTTTAAGGCAAATTAATAAGCAGCTTATGGTGGTTTTTTGTTTAACTATACCCCAACAGAACCTAAAAATAAAATGTATGTTCTGCAACTGTTTCAATAATTATGTCTTCTTAAACTGTTCTCCTCTATAAATCGATCAACATGGCTTTGAACCTGGTTATTCAAAATTGAAAGAATTCCTTCCCCCAAATCCCCAAATATAGAAAGTGCATGATTTCATATGTGCCAAAAGAAAATAAAAGGCAGCTGAGGTAGTTAGATGTAAAATGTACTTATGAAAAATTACTGAAAAACTAAACCCAGGACATATACAGTAAAAGCCCACTCATTTAGAATTAATTTGATATCATGCAACAACTAAAAGCAGGAAACTTTATGATTTTTGAAACAAAAAAGTAATAATAACATTGGAATAAACAGAATATACTATTAGAATTTGATTTTCAAGTATTTGAGCGTATTTGCATGTGCATTTTTCTACAGGCTTTATATAGTATTAGGAAGTCATTTACTTTTTATCAGGCATCACATGAGGTCTGGTTGACCTCTGGGACTGAAGCTTCTGGAAGGCAGAAATATACTGTGAGTGCCTGAAGATGTGCCACCACGTGTGCCCAGAAGCACCACCATCTCAGCTTGGGTGAACTTCTATGCACCTGCCCTCTGCTGAGGTCACCTGAGAGTCACAGGGCCAGGGATCCTGTGCCTACATCTCCCGGGAACTGACTGAATAAATGTCCTAGGAGCCTGCCTGGGATGTACCCACATGTCTGGATCCATGCAGGATGTGCCCATATGGTGGGGATCTCCCACATGATGTTCCTGCAGAGCTGGTGTGTACACACCCACCAGTCCCCAAAGAGAGGATCAGCCTCCACCTTGCACCACAGAGCTACAGCTCCTCTTAGGCCTTCCTGCCTGTGCCCAGCACCATTGCATTTCAGCTCTCACAGGGACCTTTTCTCATCTGGAGAGAGGGACATAGTTCCCCCTCCTGCAGACAGGACAGTCTCCAAGAAAGCGTTACCTTGAGTCCACTCAGGATGAATAGAGATTTGGGCTGGCGTCATAGTCACAGAGCTCAAGCTAAAAGGCCCTGGAGCAGAGACAAACCCAGCTTTCCCTTCCATTTCTGCCTAGGAAGAGAAGCAGGCAGCTTTCTCTAGCAAAATGCCCAACTGGAGTGTGTGGGTGCATGAAAAGTCTTCAAACTCTGGGAATGAATTTCACAAAAAAAAAGCCTACTTGCAGAACAGAAATGAACTTGTAAATGTGTTCCTGTCTTCAGTGGCAACAACCTAATAACATCCCATTACTAAACATGTAATGTGTTGGCTCTTCTGAGTCCTACTGTTAGATCCCTTTGCAGATGATCACAAAATGGGTAAATGCAATTTGGTATCATGAATTCTGCACTAGGAACCTGGCTTGAAGAGCATCACAGCAAGGAGCATCACACACTGAAATAGTTTGGGTATTTGTTGGTGGCTTTCCTTTCTTTTTTTAATTGGCCTGTAAAAAAGTAGGGTTTGTACTTCTGAACTGTGTACCTATGCTGTTTTTCATTTTTATTTTCTATTAAAGAAGGAAATCCTGAAGCCTTTTCTTTTTTCGTTTTCTTTTCCTTTTAATGTTACCTTTCTAGGGCCCTTGAATTTTAATAACGATTTTCAAAAGTTTTGACCAACTTCATCTCTGGCAGCCCAAAATGAGGAGTCACTGATGTTCACTGCTGAACCTACATGCTATGGCAGCAGAGCTGGTAACAGCCAATTACATTTGCACATCCTGCACATCACAGCCTTTTAAATTTTCCTGCTAGAACTAAATGGAAAACTAGAAAATGGACTGTGAGATTCCTTGATGTGGCGTGATATTACAGCTTTCCCCAAAATGTTTGTCAGGAGTTTCAGCTCCATTGCTCTGACTATTTTAGGGTGACAGGGAGTGGGGCTGAGAGAATCTCAGTTTCTCAGAGAAGTCAAGGCTTTATAGCTTTATGTAAACCTAACAGAAAAAAAAGATGCTCTGATTTTGAAGGGGGGGAAAATATTTTTCAGGTCCGATTTCATGAAACACAAAGATGCTAAAAGGCACACCTTTGAAATGGATGCAAAAATCTTTTTTTTCTGCATGTGAAACAACAGTGAAGGCAGTCCTTTGTTTTCCCCTGTGCCTATCAGTTTGGAGAGGATAAAAACCTAAAAACTGCTTGAGGACTTTACTGCACCAGCTAATCAACTTGTTTTCTTAGCACTAACCTCTACAGCCTGGGTATCCAGCTCAGTGTTTCAGAGTGTTGCCATTGTGCGTATTTGACGTACGTAGGCATCCTCTTCACTGTGTCATTAACTTATTTGCCACCTTTCCTTTCCAAATACAAATAATATCTCCAAGTCTCATTGCATGCAGTTAATGTCTGCCTCAACAAGAAACAGCCGCCTTCTCCTCACCAATTCAGTTGTGTCAGTGGTAGCCGTTTTGGAGAAACTGGAAGAGAAGAGGATCTACCTGCACCTGCCTGATCCCTTGTGGCATTGAGCTGCCTCTGTCCCCTTTCTGTGTGACTCAGAACTAAATAAGGAGATAAAATTTGCCAGGATCCAAATGCTTGATCCATTTTCAGGGGTTTCAGTGGCGAGGTGCAACAGGCAAATATCGTGGAGGGCCAGGTTGGCAGTCTGTAGTGGAAAACAGGAGGATTTTTGCCTGAGCTTAGGATAAAATCTCACCTCTCCACCTTGTCTAGATTTTTCCCTTGAGTCCAGTGACTAAGGCTCTATGGAAAGATGTATATTCATCCTGAAATTGCAATGTATAGCTCAAAGGACAGTTTTTATTTCATAGAAAATATTAAAGTAAAATTAACATATTCATAAGCTGCCTGAAAGTTTTAAAAGACATTTTAATTTATACTGGAATCCAGCCAAGTATCTTAGCCTCATCCAGAGATTGGAAGACCTAGAAAGGCTTTAGTATTATTTTCAGTGGAATATTTTTTTAATACAAAGCCTGATATTGCTTCCTCAGACATTTTCAGTGACTTAGCCTTATCTGTATTGGGTGCACAATGGCTGACAGTTTCACCAGACAGTAAAATTCAAGTGCACTGTAAAGCACTTATTAAAGAGATTCCTTAAAAAATAAATTTTACATAGAGTGACATTGTGAAATTTAAAAGATAAATGCCCATGTGCTTTCTCCTGGGGTTTACTGGACTCCATTAAAGTTAAAAGAAAGTAATCCATTTGCTATGGTGGACCTATAGGGAAGCCCTTTATGATTATAAACTGTCCATAATCAAAGTAAATCCCAGTATAATAAACGCTTCTGTCCAGAGTGCTGGTGTAAGTATGACTTATTGACATGTGTGCCAGGCAGAATTTCTCCATCAGTCCTTTAAGACTGTCTTTTGTTTTGGTTTTTTTTTTTTTTTTTTGCTTAGCTGTAGGTTGTTGAAGAAGGCTTTGCAAGCACAGCTGTTATCAAGTCTGTCTTTTAGGATCATTTGGCTCATGTGAAATTGCTTTGGATGGCTCACCTGTTTTATTAATAGCCTAGAAACACTTTTGCACACATTTCCCCAAACAAAATGAAATCCACCAGTCAGCCTGAAAACAAACTTTGAGTTCTGTATATTAAAAGATGGAGGGTGAAAGAACACACAAATTAGTTAGCCTTATCTGAGTATGCATTTTGCTGTAATGACTGGAGAATATGCTCTTTTTAATTACTACTGAGTTAATTAATATTGTTTGTAGGAATCCATTTAAAATGTCCAAATTGAATTAACTGACATGCTCCTTGCACACTGCAAATTTCATGAGAACAATGTATACTGAGGAAGAACAATTAAAAGTTGGTTTTATTTTATTTTTTCTTTTCCTTTTTTTTTTTTTTTAATACAAGAGGATTACGGAGAGCTGCAGAAAGTCTCAAAGCACAACTGCACTCTGGAAAATTACTATAAAATCAATATGGTAAAGAACCGTGTTTATTGCATCCCAGAGGGTACCATTTCCAACGCACTCAGCTTACAGTGAGAAGATGAATCTCCCATTTGCTAATGCCACGGGTCAAATCCAGAAGTCAGACTGGTTTTTGCATGGCTCTGCAGCATGAGGAATAACAATTGTTAAGTTAACATTTGATTAAGGAGGCAGGTGAGCAAGCATGGGAAGAAGAGCAGAGCCAGCTGACACTCTTGAGACAGCCTTATACATGGAATGGCACCTGCAGGAAAATACGGCGATGCTCATTTGTTAGAATAAACATTAGCTTGTTAATAATGCACAACTCAGAGAATAGAGAACAAAATATCTGTCCCCTCAAGCAGAACAAATTACACAGGGGACAGTTTCTGCCCTTGAGAATCAATGGGAATTGATTTAAAGGAGCAGCAGTCCTGTTAAAGGAGAACTGCAGTGGGATGGCAGATCTTTGAGTGCTAATCCAACATGATCCTCATCAGTGGCTGTTCTGTGGGCCAGAAATTATCTCAGAAACAAAAGATATTGAATTCTAGGTTGCTATGGGCATATACCAAGGCTTTGGAATGATGAAGATCAGCTGAGCATCAAAATATGACATCTGTCTTTAAAACAATTCCTGCTTTGCACTTGAGAAAATTGTTTCAACATTTGCAGTTTTAACTTGGTTTTCCCTCTCTAACCATAGGGGTTATCCCATAGCCAGGTGTTATGCAAAAGAATTTTTGAGTTTTGTACTGTGATATGAGAAAAGAAAGTTTCTTAGATAATCTGAGCAGTCTTCTCTCATTGGTGCATTATGCCCATGAGACTCAAGCACAAGAGGAAAATGGAAGGAAATACAAGAAAAACATCATAACAGTATCTAGCAAACTTTGCCAACATTTTTGAGTGAATCTTTGGAGAAAAAAGACCTTTCATGATATGCTACACTTACAGACCATGCATAAGGCTATGGTTAACTCCACCAGCTTTTCTACTGAAATCAGGATGAGACTGTTCCTGCTTCTAAACAAGCAACAGTTGATGATAACATCTACTATAGCTGAAAGTCCTTCAGCGGTAATTTCCATGATGAGCTGAGTGACAGAATACCTGAGCATGAACAAATGCTATGAGGGCTCACCCACTCTATAGATTCACAGCTGTTCCCTAACTATAAGGCTTCTACCAGAAGTCTTATCTATCCTAGTCTACTGATCTCCATAGTCTCTGTTTTTTCCTGCTCTACACCTTCACACCTTGCCATGTATGTGCTCCTCATGCTCCTTCAGCTGTGCATGAAGAAGCTGATGTGAGGACAGTTAGCACTAAAGGAATATGCACCTGCAAATCCGCTATTTATTTATGGATGTACTACATGAAAAACTGAGACCACGAGAAAATGCACAAGCACTTGAACAACAGCAAGCCTATAATACTTCATATACAGAAAAGCCCATCTTCTGAGCCTATTTTAAACCTTATGTTTTTTGTGGAAGCCATCTGAGATTAATCCTCCATAAAGAGGATAATAAAATTATCTGACCTATAATCTATTATAAAGATCTATGATTTCTAAATTTAACAATCACTGCCATACAAAATCCTTGTCTCCCAGGCCTTAGTTTGAGACCTCTTTGTATCTTATTGCTAGTAAACAACTCCTGTCAATAGCAACAAAGTTATATCTAAGAAATTCTTTTCACTGTCTCCCTGTGTGTTCCAGTTAGTTTGTAGAATTTTCCCAGTCAACGTCTTTCCCAGAGGAGAGAGCAATTGCACTATAAGCAGTATTTTGGCACCAGGGTTTGTTGCTTTGAGTTTTGGTGTGTGTGGGGTTTTTTTGTCTTTTTTTTCCTTCCCACCGCGCTCCCACCCCCCTCCCCATTAAAACCTCTGCTCCTCCCTTTATCCACTGAAACAGCAGGGGCAGCTTCCACAGTGTTTCACAAACATCTCTTAATCGTGACCAGAGGAATCACCCTTTTGCCTTCGTGTCTTTGATCTCTGGCCTCCCTGCGAAGGTCAACAGTGGAGATGCTCCCAGAACGAAATGTGTGTACGGATTACTCATTGTCGTACACACACGTGCACCCTGTGCAGCCTGACTGGAGGGGGCTGTGACAGCACCCTGCTTGAAAACTCTGTATGAGGAGGGGGCCAAGCAAGAGCTCTGCTGAGTTCCATGTTGCTGTGTTCCTCCAAATACTAGAGTTAGGTTAAATATAAAACCATCCACTTATTCCTAGTTGTTTTTATAAACTGCAAGTGTACTAACCTACATCCTTTCTGGTGACGAAAGGATTTAAATGCTTTGCTGGTCACAAGCCTTTCATTATTCAGAGATCAGGTTTGGTATAGGCAACATTATATTTTTTTTCCCCTTCTGCTTTGTGTCAAAGCAGCTAAAATCCAGCTGTGTGTTAAAAGCAATGAATACAATATTTTCTTCACTCATTCACCCAGTACTTAGTGCTGTTACTAAATGTGATTATATGTTTTGTTACAGATAAACTGTTCCAGAACCAGCAAAGTCATCTCAAAAATAAAACTGTACTGCTGTTAGGTAGAATGACTTTTTGGTTGATAAGATGAATAGATGGTCAGTTCTCCATTGATGGTAACCACAGCTGTCTCAATCCCAGTAATCCTCTTTTAAATACAACTCCTTGCACCTACAAACCAAACAAAATGGATAAATGTTTCATAAGATGAATGATGAAAGCTTAGCTAGGATGAATTTACTAATATTGCATTTTGTCTAGATCTCTCTTTCCAGTGTGGGTACCTTGCTGAACACAGCTAACAATAGCTTTTTTTTTTTCCCCCAAGCTGATTAATGTTTGCTCACGGGACCTTGATTACTGTATTACAAGTCACAAATTTGCAAGATTAAAAATGTCTGTTGAATTAATTAGCTGCAAATCAACCTAGGCACAGCTCGGCAAGTTCCAAGCTGTTCCAATAAAATACAAAAAAGGAGGAATCGATAGCAGCCACAAATACATGACAATATGCTGGCACTTTGTGACTATAAATAGTGGCAGCTGCCCTCTCTGCTGACAAAGGAAGATTTTTCATTGTCCATACAGTGCTGTCTAAAGGCTAAATCCTGCCCAGACTGGTGTGGCAATCTCACACATAGATAAAGTGTTCTCAGTGAAATATCTCCTGTGGGCCAGCCTGGTGACCCAGGAGGAACTGGAGCTGGAAACAAGCTGCCTACCTTGTCTCCGCTTTCAGCCAGAGGGAATGCCACAGTGCTGGTGCCAGGAGCAATCACAGCACTTGCTGGCTGGCAGGAAGGCTATGTTAGTCCCAAAATGGAAATGCAGGGAACAATGTTGAAAGTCATTAGTGACTATTTTTGACCTTTCTCTCTGCAGTTACTGCCATTGTCTGACCCAGTCACAACGATTTCAGATCTATCTGTCTACCAATCAGATCCTGTTGGAAAGTTTCTGTTTTTTTCAAACAGTGTCCTTAATGCTGAATGGTGACTCTGATCAGGAACTCTAGACATATAGAAGCAAGTGCCTTCATTGGCAAGTAGTCTCTTCCTCAGCTTCATAAAATTTAAAATTAATTCTTATCAAACACCACCTAAGAAACAATCTGGGATAGGCAGATAATAACGCAGAACATACTGAAAAAAATCAGTAATTAAAATTTCAGAAATAGCTACTGTGTATGCATGGTATATTTAAATTGACAGGGGTATTGTTTTCAAATACATGCATTTGAAATTTATCTTCAATACATAATCAGTGCAAGAGCAAATCTTTCCTTCTGACAGCATGTATGAGGAAACTGCATGTGGGTTGGATAACAAATTCTCTTTAGTGTTCTTCAATTAAAATGCAAGTAAACCATCCTAATTATTGCAAGTTATTTCCTTCATAAACTACTGACAATGATAACTGATTGAGAAACAAATACAACCAACATTAAATGAAATGAAAGTTTAATTGATCCCTTTGCCATTTTCCTATATGACTTTTTCCTTGATTAAGTAAATGTGATAGATCTTTCTTCATTTTATATAAATTTTCCCCACTCTGTTCTTTTACCAAAATATTTAAGATTATGAAATATAGCATTAGACATATTTTTTCCATAACTTTTTGTTAAAGTGCTGGCATAATACATCACAAAGCTGTCTCAAATAATAACTAGAATGTATTTTCCAATAATTTTTTTTTTCTTTTTGCAGTTATCACTTGATTACTCTTGATGGCAATGCTCTTGATCCTTTTGTTTAGGATTAGAATTTAAAATTAATTGCAAGATTGAATCCTAATAGAATCTCAGGACTCACTGTAATGTGTATACATGCACACACACACATATATATACACAAGTATATATATATATAAATGCATTTGATACTGTAAATTTGCTCCCAAGTATGAGATAAGATTGTACTATTTTTATTATGATAAAAACAAACACTTTCACAGAGGGTATTCATTATAGCATGCTCCAAACTGTGGACACGGAACTTACTTCTTGCATTCACCACAACCTGGGCAATTTTCACATAACTGTGGTTCAAAAGTACCATCCAGAGAAACCATGTGTGCTCCACATGCCTGGCTAGACAGCATAGAGCCTGTTTGCCCTTTGCTCAGCCCAAACTGATCTTTGTTTGGTGAAGGAATTGGGATTGCAAAGGGTATGCACCTTGGGCTCAGGCAACTATAGATAAGCTACACGTGTAGCTTTGATGCCCATACAAAGTCTGCCTGAGCTCCAGTGAAAAACCAGGTGACCGTGGCCACAGCGTTAGCAGTGCATTAGCACACAGTGCATTAACAGACCTGATTCGAGGCAGCATGTAGAGATTCAGGCTTTGTCACAGTGCTAACCATGTTCATACGGCTTTTGGAGGGTGAGCAGAGTGATTTTGCTTCTTCTCCAGCTGTATCCTGTAGACATTGCTGGATGTAGGCAATGGCACTGAATGGGCTCAACAGTTTCTGCCCTCAACACTAAAAGGACTGAACATACCAAAATACTAGAAGTATGTTTACATTGCGCAGGATAACTTTTATGTTTTCCACAAAGAGGAAGAACAGCCTCAAAATATGAGGCAGGGAGCATTGCCCTTCTCCTCAGTAGTGTGCAGCCCTATAGCCTTCCCCTGAGAGATAGTAGCTAAAGATATGAGTCATTGCTAGCTGAAGAGATAACTGCATTTGGCTCTCCCCTTGGTCTCTGCTTACCACCAATCTACTACTGGAAAAGCAGTCATGGATATTTCTGTGCAAAGCTCCATCTGATAGCACCCCAGAGGACCCAAGTCCTTCAGGTAAGATAAGCAGAAGAATACGTGCTCAGGGGATCCTGGCAGGCTTAGGTGGGAGATAGGAGCTGAGCTGCCTTGTGCTGTTAAGACCAAGTTGTTTCTGATCAAGTCCAGGAGCCAAATTTTAGGTGGTCAAACATCTGGCATTAAAAATGTTCAGGAGCTGCTAGTTAGTGCAGTTTGGAGGATCACAGTATTAGTCTGAGGCCCCCAGCGTGCCTGTGCAGGCCTCTACACGTGTGCTGCAACGTGCTGGGCATCTGGTCCCCGAGGGTTGTGGCTTTCATCCAGCTCATGCACTTGGTTTTTCTCTCCGTGGGCTCTTTGGTGCATGAGGTGGGGAAGGGAGTGCTGGACTGCAACCAGGCAGTGGACTGCAACCTGAGTGGACTCGTAGCACACAAACACAGTTTATGTTTTGCCTTAGTACTATGTTATGCCTCTGAAGTATCTTATGGACATTCAACTAGCAGCTTTTTTACCTTGAGGAAATCACTTATTAGTGAAATTCTGTTTTTCAGTACCAGTACACAGTAGGTGGCTGAGTGGACACACCTATTTCACGCTAACAAACTTTTGTGAGGTTTAGTTCAGTGCAGAAGACAACCCCAAACTCAACACTTTGTTAAAAGGATATGGACTTTCCTATAGCAGAACAGGTCTTGTGTAGAAAAGCTGCTAGTATTCTTAGGGCTGCAGCATGCCTAGAAGTAAGATCCAGAAGCAATTGCTTCCAAAGATATCTGAAATAAGAGGCTGAAATTTACAGATAGAGAAAATGTACCCATAGCCATTTCATCTTTCTTTCTACGAATACGACATCTAGTTACACTGACAAATCTGTTACATTTTTAAGTTTATCCCAACCATGCCTTGAGAAGAGATTTTTGGTTGCACTTCAAAGTTTCTTTGATGCTTTTTTTTTTTACATTGCCTTGCATGTGGAAGTTGAGATTTGATCTGTTAGTTGGCCACTTTTATCAGTAATTTCTTATAAATCTTTATCAATGAGTATAGCATCTATAACTCTGTTGTAATTATACACAAGCTTCTCTCTGACCTCTCTGGCTCATGCAAATCACCCTGTAAACATGCTGAAGAGGACTTTTTGCCCTGCATTTTGCATTTTTTGCCCTGCATTTTGCATATCTGTCCTCTTTGCCCCAGGATTCAGGCATACAGCTCACTAATGGGTACATAAGATCTGCTGCATAAGAATGAAACCCTAAGTATTCAGAGCAAAACGTATGTACAGGAGCCAAGCTTACACATGTAGAAAAAGTTCCTTTTAATGAATGTGCTGGTCAGCAATTGGCTTTTGTAAGAATCACTGAAAATGACTGGTTTCAGGGACATTTTTCGAAGTCTTCTTAAAAGGATCACAAAACAGCAACTGTGTCAAAGTGGGAATATTCTTAAATGTTTGAACTAAAAAAGGAAAGAAGAAGAAATGTTTGATCCATGCTGAGCTAGCACTAAGTTTAAAGTATGTATTTCTGTTGAGCCAAGTGACATGCAGGCTCTTTGGAAAGAAGCAGATCTCCAGCTGACTTCAGTTTGGAGCAAGGAAGTGAAGACTTCCACTGCTGTGGTCTGAATTCATGCAGTTGTTCACTCAATACCAGGGGCCTGATTCTGTCATACCAGTGAAGAAATCTCATAAAAGTCCTGTACTGAGGTCACTACAGTAAAACAAATTGTGCCAAGGGATCCCTCATGTGTTAAAACAGTTTTGTAAATGATCTGTTGGTCAATGACTAACTTTGCATGAGCAAGGCTTTGTAATGTTCATCTCTCTCTCTCCTATAATGAAGTCTGCTCATACTAGATGTGAGAAATCGTCTCAGAAGTGGAATGCTCAGCAATCTGCAGCCAAGTGAAAATAATGACAGAATTTGTTTCAAAAAATCAATACATGTGAACTGCAGGAATCTGTTGTGCTTTTTTTTTTTTTTTAATTCCTAGATTTAAAAGAATCTGTTCTTATTTTCCATTTTATCTCTTTTATCAGAATAAAGAGGAATCAATTCAATGTCATAATGAAAAGACATAGTTCTATAACAATGAAGGGAGGATTCCACAACTTAATGTGTCTGGTATATAAATGGCTGTTTGCCATTTACTCCATTTGGCTTTCTGCTGAGAGCATGGGCTTCATGCAAGCTAGTATAATTGCTACAATTAACAAAATTAAATGGCTTATTGTGTATTTAGACAATTCTTCCCATGTTCTGCTTTGTTATACTACAGAATTAGTAATTGCAGTGTTGGGCTTGTAAATTCATGGACACGTGTTGTGATTATTTTCATCACACACATCTTGTAGGGGCTCAGCGTAAATAAGCTTGTTTAGATAGATGCACAGATGCAATTTACTCCGCTTCCCACCATGCACAGGAGCAAGAGAGGCAGCAGCAGGACCCCAGGAATCTGTTGAAGTCTTTTCCTTGGCACTGTGCAGGCAGTGCAAGGGGGTGCAAAGTAAATCTCAGCATCTCAGTCACTCTGGATTGCACGACTTCAGGGATGGAGCAGAGAAAGGGCAGCAGTGGCTTTGGGAGCTGAATCACTGGCAGAGCCAACTAAAACTCAGTACAGCGCCACTTTTAAGGCTCTTAAGGAGTTATATGATCAAATCACAAAGAGTTCAAAATTCTTTAATTTGTGTTCTGAAAAACCCAAAAGGCTGGTTGTGAATATGCTGACCAATAAAAAGTAAATGAACATATTGCATGATTGCAAGTCCCTTTCCAAACAAAGCAGCACTTGTACTTTTAGTACCACTTATGAATTGCTCTTCTGGGGAAATAATGATGCATTGGCTAGACCATCGTATGTTTTAAACTAATATGGGTGTAATAGCTATTCACCACATATTAAAAATTACATCTCCAATAAAATTGTAATTTACCCTCTCTGCTTAAAAGTTTACAAAATCAGGCAGATGAGGCATAGCACTGAATTTTGGAGGGAAAATTTTCTCCAGTGTTAAAAAAATTAATTAATAGAGAATTTGTTGTTTGGTCAATAAAAATGTTATTTATATGTCATCAAACCCATATAGCCCAAGCACAGAAACATTGTTCTAGCACAAGAAACATATTTGACATAAACAAAATCAGAAATTATTTTTTTCATTATTAAATATGCAGGAAAAAGGTATTGCACATATTTGTAAAGAATTTTTTTTCAGAAAAATTATCTTATTACAGAACAAATAACTTTTAAAATAAGGAAAAAATTGTATGTTACATTTTTTATATGTTTTCTGAATAAACATGGTATACATTACCTCTTCTTTATCTAATTAGAATAGTGAATAGTAGTTGAATTGTCTTTTTTGTAACAGACAAATACAGACTCTCAGAAGTTTAGGACCAAGTCTTTAACCAGATAAGTTACCCTTAAATCTGCTGGCAATTTTTTTGGTTCAGTAGAACAATGCTTTCATAATTCTTACTTCTAACAAAGAGATGTGATTGCTTTTCTTTACCAGAATGTGAATATGAAAATACAAACAATTTATTTTCTTGTATTCTGGAATGAAATTTAAAAGGTCTGATTTTTTTTATTATTTCAAAAGCGGAAGTTAATTTCTTTACAATTTTTTTTCTGTTTGTGGGTTTTTTGTGTGGTGTTTTTTTTTTTTTTTCTATTGCTGTCTTAATTGAACATTATTGATTTTAAAACTGTCTGTGGTAAAAAGAATAGTGCATATTGACTATTAACTGTCCTTAAGGCCATCATGGAATTTCAATGTGGATGATGTTTAATCTTGGCAATTTCTATAAAAAGTTCTTACAGCTTTTAATGTGACTATTCACAGCAATGCAAATTATGAAACTGTCCACGTAGTCATCCAAGCATGAAAATTTCAATGGCCACCCTGTTCTCACTGCAAGTATCCCTGATGTTATGAACGTAACAGATAAGATTTTGGAGAGCAAATTTTGACTTAATGTATAATGATTTCTTTCCCTTCCTCAAACAGCCAGATTGAATTCTTAGGACAAGATGTATATATATAGTGCAGTACATACATACATATATATATATATATGTATGTATATGTTACTCTGCACTCAGGCCCTGCAGTAGTATTTTGCTTAAGATAAACATTTTTACAAACATTATTTAAAAAAAATTTAAAATGCTGGGAGAGTAAAGAAAGTAAATGCTAGGCATGAAAACCCACATGGATAAATAATACCTCTGTGCCCTTCCTTCTAAAACCAAACAAGAGCAAATCAAACAAACTCACCCCAAACCTTCTTCAGAAACCTTGCAAAGCAAGCACTGGTGCAGACTTTAACCCTTTAAATTTTGTACGAAGCAACATTTCTTCAATTCTTTAAGCCCTGACCAAAGGGCTCACGGCTCTGAGGAAGAGCAAGAGGATGAGAGGGACATCAGAACAGGACAAGCCTCACTGACAGCTGTGATGTGCCCCTCTCTGCAGGAGGTACTGGAGGGTGGGTAGGGCTTGTGAAGGCTGCCCACTGTGCCTCATTCAGGCTTAAATTTCTGAGTTGTTAAAGCAGCAGCAAACACATTACACTGTTTCCAAAAGACACATTCACATCTTGGATCACAAAGATTACCATTTGCCTTGTTTGTAAAGGAAACCAGCAACTTCCTTGTGCGAACTAGCATTTGATACTGGAGTGAAAGCTCTACTGAATTTGACAGGACAAAGGACTTGCTCCAAAAATCTTTTTTTAGCAGTTCTTGCAGTGGTATATTTTTTGACAAAACATGAGTGCTTTTCTCTGAATAATCAGCTATATCTTCATGGAGAGAAGGGCAATCACTTTGTACAAAGCTTCAGGTTTGGACTATCAAAGAATTGTTTTATTTAAAAAATTATAGAGGCAGTTGGCTACTGCTTAATTTGAAAATACCTAAGAAACCTTTGAAGCATGGGTGTTTTCTGATCTGTGTAAAGTTCCCTCTGCCTTGCAGATTCCTACACTTTCACAGATTTTATTTTTTTGTTTTGAGGAACTTGCCCCATCAAGGAACAACAGGTATTGAACATTTCACTAATAAAAAAAGTCAACATTAAAAATGGCTAATTAAACGCATACAAATAAACATAGTCTGTGTAACCTTGGCCATTTCATAGTACAAATATTCATAATAGGAAAGACTGCAATTAACCCAGCAGCATATACAGCAGTGACTACACTGGATATATCTGACAGTGAAGATTACAATACCAATCATCAGGTCTTCTCCATTCTGACAGTGCCATTTACAACAATAACTCTTCAGTTCTGCTTCTCTGTCCTAAAATGGATGGAAATAGTTATAGCAAATTTTTTCCTATGGAATCACTTGGTGTCTTTACAAGCCACTTACATTTGAAGCAGGATCCACAGTTTATAGGGTATTCTAAAAGTACCCATGTAGGCTTTCATATGGCATTACACTGCAAAACAAATCCATAATGTGTGAAAACCAGGTTTACATCAACCTGAAAAAGCCATTTGATAAAATTCATGGACCAATTCTTAAAATCTAAGCTATAAAGAGAATGAAATGTATTAAAAGATTTGAGGTTTATAAAAAGTAACATTTTATACCATATTTTTAGTTTACAAAAATATTGAAATAATCCATGAGTTTTTCACTCTGCACCAGATTTAAAAAAAATACTATCAAATTTTGACTTGCACCTTTAATGCATTTGAAAGCACCATCAGGGGATACTTTTAACATAAAGGATAATACCATTGACTAGATTTAGGGAGGTATTTAAAACCCAAAAGCTTGCAGCAAAGCACTCTATTACAAGAGATTCAACGCACTTTTTAGACGCATCTAGACAAACGTCTTGAACAGGCAGAAGAGACTCTTCCACATAACTTGCTTATATTATACTTCTGTGAATATACTTACTAAGAGGTGGCTGAAAGCCTTTAAAAGACATCACTTTCACCTCGGGTTGGGAAAAATCAGAGCTGTCTCTACATGTTGAGAACTTGGTTGGTCTTCCCTGCTTCTTTTTCTGGTAGGGCTTGTGCCACTTGTTATCTGTCCCTCAGGCAATATCAACCTTGCAGTTATACAATGTTTGGCACTAGAAGTGTATGGCATGTCACAGTCTCTTGTCACCCCTGCATACATTCACACACTGAATCATGCATTCTCAGTCCTGAAACAGAGAAGTCTCAGTGTGTTCATCTCCTTGTAGTTTCTTCTGAAATGTCTGAATGGGGTCCTTCAAAAAGTTTAGAATGTGAAAACTATACTTCCCTGTTCTTTCACTTTTTTTTTTTTTTTTTTTTTTTTGCAAATTGAACACTGAATCATGATTATCATTTAATGTATATCACTACGTGTTAGAGCTCCTTATTCCTCCTGAAAACCAGAAGTGAGCTGCATAGGATTTCTGTTGAAAGTAACATCAAGAAGTTAAATTGCATTTTAAAAAGACTTTGAAGTTGCACAGAAAACAAACAGTTATGGTAGAATTAATTTTTACGACCTAATCAATCAAAATTTAGTTTACTTTCCATTGACAGCCTTACAAACATGACAATGTATCTTTTTAATTAAGAACTATTTAGCAAACCTAATCTAACGTGAATGGCTGATTTATGGGAGTGTTGAAGACTATTATGCTTCTATTTTTTTCCCCAGAAAACAGTTTTCCTAACAGCAACACTGTGTGCTAGTTTTGTTATTTTTGAAAAGGTGTGTTTTTGCTTATTTTTGCCATTGATTCTGGAAATATCAATCATTAATTTCTAAAATAAAATGCACTACTGGCTAAAGTTGAAAGCTCTGGTTTGATTGTAAGTGCTGTGCAGTCAGAGTTTCATAGCAGCAAGGGGTCGTGGGTGAGTTTCCCCAGCTGAAGTAACTGATCTGTATGAGTGGGTCAAGGTTTTTTTTAGGCTTTCAGATGATGCTGCTGTATCAGTGTCCTGCTGACAGACTGCACACAGTGGATCAAATGATAATCATGATGATAGCCAGACTAAGAACACTATATCTTGCTGCTCTACTTGTAGTACACAGTTCCTACAGCCCTACTGTCAACCCTTAATTTGGACTGTAACGTTGGAGCTTCTTCAAGCCGTGTTTTTGCTTTGTTTACAATGTGGTTTCATATTCCAAGCGCTCCTGGATAAGGGCATCATCTTTATACTGTAGCCGTGGAGGAGCAGGGGAACATTCAAATGCCAAGATTGCCTTCCTCAGGCTCCTGTCCAACACGTGTCTCTCCCACGCTGGGTACCTGTTCCTGAACAGATCAATTTTAATGACAGACTCCTCAATCCTTGGTGGCCGGGATGAAGGTGTGGATGGTGCAGTGGGTCTCACCTGAAACACAGGCACACACCCGTCCCTCTCTGCAAATTTTTGATCCCGCTCGCTCGTGACACTCCGGTTGTTGGAGATGGACCTTAGAGTGCTTGTGGCCACTTCTGGGGGTAGGGTGAAGGCAGTGGCAGGGTCCTCACAAGCACAGCTTGGCGACTGCCCAAACCTTGGTCCATTGGGGTGAAAGAAGGCATAGTACATTAGCATAAAAACAATGCCTGTTAAAAAGCTGCTGAACACTACACACAGTGCTGGTATGGCAAATGCATCAGAGATTTGAGGGGCTTTGTACAGATACCAGAGAACACTCAAGGCAGTGTTTTCTAAAAGGATGACAAAATAGTAAATGAAAAGCCTACAGCGTGTCCTTCCTTCCTTGACATTGAACCAGCTGAAGATATAGATTATCCCAACAACCATGTCGAAAACTATCTCCTCCCATTTAGTGATGCAAAACTCTGTCTCGCAGTGAACGATCCAGAAGGTCATGATGCACCAATGCAGCACGATGAAGATCCCAAAGTACAGCTGGAAAACTGAGGCAAACAGAGCAAAAGTAATGACCCTTGCTGCAATTGTGAAGAAATGCCAGCAAAACTGGATTATAACAGCCATATAACTGATGGGTTTCTTGTCATCACGGGAATCACGCAGGGCCTTTTGGTAGGAAGCCAAAGCCCAGGCCAGGGACACGAGAGATGCTGCAGCAGTAAGACCTAGGAGGAAACAGGAGATGCAGTTAAGGCATAATTAGTATGTCAGTGCTTGGCTGAAACCGGTGAGATCCTTACTGCTTTAAACACGTTCTCCACCACTCACATAATAAAACCTCTTCCATCTCATTTAGCTCAGAGAAATGGACCCCAACTGCTGAGATTTAATTGCCGTACAGTGCTGGATACACAAAAACATGAGTGGCTATCAAATCACACTCTGAAGTGCTTCTCCAGCAATTACACATTTGAAACAAATTAACTAATTCACAACTTTGAGCAAGTTGGAGTCTCTGTCAGCTCTGTGATTCAATGGGACCTACTGTGGTTGTTGTTTTCAAGAAAGAATATGAATGTTCTGATTTTGATAAGTCATTAAGGAAACCTAATATAATGCAACCAAGTCTTTCTAATTAAAACGCCAGCATCATATACATATAAAATAAATCAATAACAATGTGAGCATAAATCTGCATTTAAAAAAAATATTACATAACTCTTGTTCTATCAAAATGTAAAGTGACTGCTTTACTCTTGCTAAGGGAAAAAAATTGCCCATTTTGATATTTCCACCACTTTTAAACAGAATTTTAATAAGTATAAAATGTCAAAATTTATTTTCTTCCAGCTGGAAATTAAATTTATTTTAGAAATGCTGGAATTGTCTACTGAATTAAAATTCTGAGTAAAGACGCTCCTAAAGTAGGGGTTTATGACTTAATATAGCCATATAGCCATTCTGTATCACATATATCACAGAATTGCCTATTTACAAGGCACTAAACTATAATATTTTGGTAAAACGTCAAAATTATTTAAAGAATTGAATATGAAATTATTTCTCATAAGACTTCAAACATTAGTCCTGTGAATATATTAAAAATACAAAAATACAAAACCTGTAAAATAATTATTTTTCAAAAAGACCTTTTTATATTTATTTTGAATGTGTATTATTCTTTTCTCCTCAAAAGAGTTTGACTCTTGTCTGTAGGTAAATTAAAAAAAAAAAAGAAAAGTTAGTTTGAAAGTGAATCTAATTTTTAAACTAACCTGTTACTTCCATACATTACCAGAAAAATACCTTACATTCCCATTTCAGAAGTGGTATAGTTCAGCATAATTATTCAAATGCTTAATACTTAAATATAATTCTGTTAGAAATTATAACAATTCTTCTTTACTAGAAGATTAATTTTTATTTACTTACAACTTGTATCAACCTGCTTTGGATGGAAATGGGAATTGCAATTGAAAAGCAAAATCCTAGCCTTTCAAGTGTATTTATTATTTAAATAAAATTGCAATAGATGTTGTATACAGAAGAAAAATATATCAAACATTTTATACTTAAAACTGTTTTATTACCAAGCCTAATTTTACATACAGCTAATGAATGAATTCATAAGTCTCAGCATCCCAGACTGAGAATTTATTCATAGATCATTTAAAGATAATGATGCTTCAGCTTATTCTATTTCTAAGCAGTTCCTTAACTTTGAACTAGTTATTGAAGTAAATCAAACTGACATGAGGAAAACATTTCTTTTGTCTGCTGTTAAAAGCTGTTTAATCATTTCAACAACCTTTGGTTCTGGATACATAGCCAGGATTTTTCTTCCCTGTTCAAGAACATATTACTTAACTATTATAAATTTTATGAAATTTTATTAATACAAAATCATAAATTTAAGATGAAATACATATTGCTATTTGGAAAAACACATATTGTTACTTTGGAAAAAAAAAAGAGGTTATTTTAAAACAGAAAATACAGGTTATGGAAATACTACCTGATTCTGATGGAAAAAAATCTATTTAAGCAATTCACCTGGCTTAACACATTAAGATTTTGCTCAGTAAGTAGTATAGAGAGATTAATTGCTTTCAGGAGGGATCGTGTTTGCCAGTGTTTCTCCCTCAGTTACCAATAGGGTGCTAATAATGTTGTGAGCTCCCACGGACCCATGAACTTAAAATCCCTTTGTCTTAAAAATAAAAATAATAACAAACAATCAGCAGAAATATAGAGCAAACTTAGGACTCCAGGGAGAATTTTTAACAGAATTTCATCATTTTAATTCCCACATAGATGCCTGGATGACAAAACACCAGCGTTACTGCTGGAATCCTCCTTCACGGAGAAAATAAGCTATCAGCAATGAAGACAGGAAGGAGACATGGTGTAAATTGCTATTTTCATTTCTGACTTGTTTGTATGTTTTCTCACACTGGGCTGCCCTTCTGTGTTTGTTATCTCTGAAGACAACACTAGGAGCTGAAAATGCAAGTTCTTGTTTTCCTGTAGGAACATTTTAAGTATTGAAAAAGCACAGTTCGTTTCCCTCATGAAATGAAAAGTTTGGAAAGGTAGATGAATAGGATAAAAGGTAGAACAATCTTTCAATACCAAGGAGCCACTCTGAGCTAGAGCTCAAAAATAGCATTATCAGCACAGGAAAAAATAATGCAAGCAAAAATATATTTTTTTTTTTTTTTTGCAAATCTAACTTTAATGACCTCACGCACTCCCCCTGAGGTTTGTAGAGATATCATCAGTTTTGCATTAGGAAGTGTAAAATCATTCAATAATGCACACAGAATATAATGTTAAATTCATAGGAATTTCCAGTGTTCTAATGCTAATTAATTCATAGTCATTGTCTGGGACAGAAAGAAGCAAGCACAATAGCAATGTAATTCTGTTATTTAAATAGTCATTAATAGGGAATCATCCTTTGCTTTTACAGAACAAACTCAGGGATACTGGCAAAAAGGAGAGAAAAGAGACAAGAGAATGTACAAAAGGGAAGAACTGTCATTTAATGTATTATGTATCTACCCTTGTGCTACTGGCAATGGTGTTAGGGATATAGAATTAAGATAAGGTGAAACATTTCATGGGCTCCATCTGTTCCTCTTTATTGATGAGACTAAGCAGTAAAGAATTATTAAAAGTAAACTAATAATGAGAACAATAATGTAAATGTGATGCAAATGGCAGTTTGCTAATAAATGTCACTATATAAATAGTTCCCTTGGAATGGTCAAAGATAAAGTGAATTATTGTAGCACTGGATGGATAATTCATTAATTAGAACATATTGATGCATTTGTTGAGTATGTGCTTGTATAAACCTCTATCCCTCTTTCAAAAGAGGAACTAAAATAAATTAATATTACTATCAAAACAAAACTTTAACAATGCAGGTGGTTTAACTTCTGCAGTCAGGAAGGCTTATTTGCCACCCAGAAATGAACAGAAACTGTATGTGGTCTGTGGAGCCACCATTCATGAAGAACAAAAACCAGCTTTCCTACATGCTCAGCTGCAGTCTATGTACACTTTTTGGGCACTGCAGCAGCTTTACGGTGTATTTGACAGTCTTGTATTCTGAGAGTCTTGTATTTAGGGTCTTGGTCTCAGAAATTAAGATTAAATAGCCATTCCCAGTGAATATATACACAAGCAACTATATGCTCATCCATTACAGACTGTTGAAAGAACAGGAAAATTCTTTAAAATGGCCTTGGGAAGCATGAAAGCATGTTCCTGTTTCTTTATTTTCTAAAGCTGAAACTTCAAATATTTTCCACAGTATATGATTTGGTCTTTAAAGTTCTGTCTGTAAGAGGAAAGAAATACAGGTTTTGCACAGGTAAAGCATCTCTTCACAATTTGCATCAGGCAAATGATGTTTTTGTCTGTTTCTAAAATGGACACCTGACATACTCCAAATAGCAATGAATGGGAGTGGCATTGTATGTACCCACTTTGCAGCTTAGTCCATCAACAACAGTCACAATAGTGAGAAAATAATGAATTGTATCAGGACATTTTTCTGCTACGAACTAATTATAATATGTTTTGAGGGAAAAATACAATTTAACCTCTTTTATTCTGTTAGGGTTTGCATTACTTAATTATGTTATCTGTATAAAGGAATGACAACTTTTTAATTACAGATGAGTTTCAGATATTCTTGAGTTAGTACACTATCTGTCTGACGAAGCAAAGAACAGAATCGCCTTGACTGAATTATAATTTTATTTTTTTCCCTGGAAATTATTAATTTCTCCAAGATGTGTTTGCATTTTATAGAGTGTGGCATATCTATACTGTTAATTTAAATATAAAATATGATACACTGCAATGAGCTACAGCTCCTTAGAGACAAGATAAAAAACCCACTAACATGACTTTCACAAATGAAAACAAATATATATGAGGGAAAAGAGAATGTATACAGAGTTGAATACATTCACAAATGTAAGATTTCAGGGAAGCATGCAAGCCCAAATAACTAGAGGAGAGCCAATGAAATTCTTCTCAACAGTATTTGTGAGAAATCTGACTGAAATGTTTTGTTCATGGGTAATCCAAATAGAATTACTCACAACACATGAGGGTTTTCTATATTACATCTCTGCATGGCAATTCACAACTTAGTTGTATCTTGCTAACACCTCTACCTTTGCATGATATCCCACAATATAATCTTTAGACTGGAGTGTAGCTGAAAAAAATACAGGTCTCATTCTCACAGTAATTTCATTTTACTCCTAATTTGTACTTGAGGTAGTAAAGGCATATTTAATTCCATAAATTACTTATTTCTAATCACATCAGTCCATAAATCCTGCATAGCATAAGTACAGAACAGCTCGATCACAGAAAGTGCTCCTTGACATTCAACCTGATTTCAGAAATCAAACTCGTGCCAACTGTGTCTGTCTCTGCTTTATCCTTCCTTTTAAACTTGTGCTTATCTCACCATGCCGTGGAGTAAACTCACCTAAAAGCAGGAATACCAAATGCAGCAGGACATCTGGGCATGACAACGCTGTCTGGGATCTGGGACTGTGAAACATTATTTTAAGGAAGCTGGAGAGGTGTTGTTAGATGCATCCAAGCTTCCAGGTGCTTCTCTGAACCAAAGCCAAGGTTCTCTAATATTCAGATCTTAGTCTTGTAGGAAACAGCATATCATGACTGCATCCCT